ATTGAGGTAGGGGCCAGATCAGATTCCAATTTGTTTGCTTTTTACCTTAATTAAATGGGTATATTGAAATTCTATTTGAAATATTTCTATTCTCATTATAATATTGGATGAAGAAATGAGTCTGGGCTCCTGGCAAAGGAGTGAGGGAAGAAAATAGCTCTTTTCTGCAGAGGGAGCCCTCTCTTATTTTAGTCCCATCCTCTTTATTCTGTGCACTATTCCTAAAGAAAACAATTATTCAGTGTGCTGGCCAGCATATCTAAATCACAATCTAAGTCATGGTTAAGCCACTCTTCTCAACAAAACGAGAGAGCTGCATATAAATATTGATTCTAAAATTAAGTAAGTTGTGGGTATGGTTTTTAGTTTAAAACATACAATATCAAATTAAAAAAAAAAAAAAAAACCTCTGGCATAGACAGAAGGCAGTCTCATATCTTTATTCTGAGAGTTCTGTGTGTCCTCTGTGGTTTATCTGGTCTGATCAGCCCCCAGCTGTCCCTATTGTGACACCGCTGTTCCAGCTGGGCCTTTCTCAACCAACCATTTATTCCACTCTATTAATCCCATTTCAGGGAATACCCATATTATATATGGTGTGATGATTTCTCCTTTCTCTTCTAATCAGATTTCCTAGAGTGTCAAGTTGTTTTTTTAATTTTAAGAAAAGGAGTTCTATTGTGTTTTATTTATTTTAGCTCTTCATGTCCCCTCAATATTTGCAATATAAGTACCAAGTGGAGGCCTTTTTTTTGGTTCTTTTTTGTTTGTTTGTTTGTTTTTTTGACTCTTGATAACTACCAAACATGGTAGGAATTAGTCTTGAGCATCTGTGGGGTATTTCCGTTTCCATCTGAAATGCCATTGTGTGTGATTTTTTTTTAAAGGACAAAAGTAAAGTTTCAGATATTTAAATGTTTCTATTATATTTGTTTATACTTGTTCTTGTATGGTTGGTTTGGGAAATGAGTTTGTGTTTTGAATAGGTAGCCAGTGGGTTCTAGTATGAGAAAGTCTAATTGATTTTCTAAGATTCTGGTTATGAAAAGATACCAATGCTAGATTGTTATATATGAATAATAAAAGAGAAATATTAGTTTATTACTCACTGAGTAGTTCCTCTTTGCTAGACAATGGGTCTTCAGTTCTCACAGTGGTCTTTAGTTCCCACAGTTGGGTATTATTATCCCCATCGGTGTGGTTGATTAGTTTGTCCAGTCACATGGCTAGGAATTGGTGGGGCTGGAATTTAAATTCAAGTGAGTCACACACCAAGACCCAGGTACTCCTAATCACTGTGTGCTCTCTCTCTCTCAGCGTTGATGTAATGTGGGTTTAGTAATAGAGTTGTTTGTTTTTTAATATTTAGGTTTTCTTCATGTCTTTAAAAAAAAAAAATCATTCTGCCTCCATTAAACCCATGACAACAATGTGTAACTGCACCAGCCAGTTTTCAATCCCTAAGTGAGGCAGACGCTCCTTGGTTTGTCAGAGATTTATACTGTGTTCAACACACTTCTATGTTGAGCACCTTCTGAGCTTCAGGACCTTTATCATTAAGATAACTTTAGCAGTAAAGCAACTTTGTCACAAATTTTTTATGGATTAATATTTAATGATTAATTTATATTATAATATAAACATACTGAAACTCTAGTATTTAAGATGATGTTACTACTTTAAGAATAAATTTTACATAGAAGACAGGATGTAATTCAGGCTGGGCGCGGTGGCTCATGCCTGTAATCCTAGCACTCTGGGAGGCCGAGGCAGGAGGATCACTTGAACTCCCGAGTTCGAGACCAGCCTGAGGAAGAGTGAGACCTCGTCTCTATTAAAAATAGAAAAATTAGCCGGGCATCATGGCTTGAGCCTGTAGTCCCAGCTACTCGGAGGCTGAGGCAGGAGAATCGCTTGAGCCCAGGAGTTTGAGGTTGCTGTGAGCTAGGCTGACGCCACGGCACTCTACTCAGGGCAACAGGGTGAGACTATGTCTCAAAAATAAAAAAAATCAGAGGGGATGTAGTTCAATATTTAAATTTGAGATTTTCATTTGATTTTGAAGTTGAACCAGTATTTTGTGTTTCCAAGTAGTAATAACATTTGTAAATGATTACTGTTTAATAGGATTTGATGTAATGCCATCTACTATTAATGTATACAAATACTATGAATATCTACTATTAACTTCAGATTTAATATTTTTGCAGGTGGAGTAGTATTAAATGGTGAAGGAACAGCTCCAAATACTCAGGAATTTTTGGCAAATAAAGGTAAATAATAATTTTAATTGGTTATTGATTAATGTAACTTGGTATTTTTTTGAGAGAGGAAATCTTCTTAGAGGCAAATAGTAGTTATATTTGAAATTTCAAACTTGAATTAAAATGGTATTTAATCTAATAGTCACAAATCTCCACAAATACCATTTATATAACATTCCATGAATTTTTGTTCATCTGAAATTAGTAAAATCTAGTTCACTTTGGCACTTGATTTTGTTTTCTTTTTTATTTGGGTAATTTGAGACATTTTGTCAATTGAGATAACATTATTTGACCTAACTTAATTGAGTTTGGTGCCTGAGGAATTAGTAAGTAACATTTTGTGGTTTAGGTTTTTTATTCCATTTAAAATACCTTTTTCATTTCACTTGTATTATTCAGTGTTCTTGAATTATTTGTGATTAAATAGCATTATAAGATGATCTAACCTTTTAATTCTAAAAAGTCTATGACTTGATCATAGTAAGTTTAATAGTGACAAAATAGAAGAGTATACCTTATAAAACAAACTTTTATTTCTAGACTTCTGCTCCAAATGTCCTGAAATGTGTCAGTATAAGTTTTTTTCCCTTCCTCCTAGGTTTAACATCCATTAAAAAGGATATGACCGACATAAGTCATGGTTATGAAGATCTTGGCCTCTTACTCAAGGACAAAATAGCAGAACTGAATTCTAAACTCTCCAAATTGCAAAAAGCTCAGGAAGAATCAAGTGCAATGATGCAGTGGTTACAGAAAATGAACAAAACTGCAACAAAATGGCATGAGAAACCCACACCTACAGATACTGAAGCTGTGAAGGCTCAAGTTGAGCAGAATAAGGTATATTCTGCGGGAGAACCTACTGAAGACATGAAAGAAAACAGATTAGCATTCAAAACTGAGCCTTTGTGGTCAGGAGCTTTGTTCTGTTTTCTAGCTCTATAACCTTCAGCACAAAATCTGACAGTTTCGTTTAACGTGCCTTTCTGTAGAGATTGATGATAATAGTCACTTTTTTTGTTGTTTTTGCACACCCACATTATGAAGATGAGAAAACTGTTAGGTATAAGCAACTTTTACACCTTTAAATCAGTTGAAGTCTGGGATATTAACCAGCCAACTATTGGAAAAGATTTATTTAAGGGCTAAATATATTAAGGATCTGTTCTGGCTAATGTAAAATAGGGTAGCTAATGCCATCCCTTTCTTTAATAGGTGACATTTCTTTCTATAGCTGTCAAGGTTGGGAGAATGGTTTTACATGGTGGCAATGATGACAAAAATTTCTATAAGTAACCTGTAATTGCACCCTTATGCATTGTCCAAAAAAGTGCTTATTCATGCTAGTAGATTCTCAAATGCTAGCAGCCTTTATCAAGGCTGATTTTTTTTTATTAATTACAATCTTGATGCCATCTTGCATTTTTCCAAAGTGGTTGATTTGAAAATATGAAATTCTTCCTCAGTAATGGGGATGAAAGTCATTATCTCCGTAGGTCTAGTGCTCCTCTGTGGGATTTCTTTGTCACACAGTTGAAGACCGGCTGAGAAGAGGAAAGGAAAATAACTGGTGAATCCAGGTCCTCACCAGCTTCATCATTTAGCAGTGGATTTTTTCCTCTTTTGGTCATGCTAGAGAAAAAAAATGCTCTATCATAATTGTGTTTTTGTCTTTTGCTGTTGGCACACTTTAATGTCGTTACTTTTTTTTTTTTTTCCCTTGTTAGTCATTCGAGGCTGAACTGAAGCAAAATGTAAACAAAGTACAGGAGTTGAAAGACACATTAACAGAACTATTGGAGGAGAACCCAGATACTCCCGAGGCCTCCAAATGGAAACAGATGTTGACAGAAATAGGTATGTTGTATTACTTAACATGAAAGTCCATGAACAGAAGCTCATTCACTTTTCATTTGTGTCACAGTCTTTATCAGAAAACATCCACAGCCTCACATATTTTTGGATTTGCGTTAATGTTTCAGAATCTATTTTTTCCGTGTTTAAAAGTGTCATTTCAAATTATATTGTGCAGAGAATTGGCATAGCTTATGTTTATATGTATCTTATCTTATGTTTTATATACTTACGTTTTATATCTTATCTTGTGTTTTTCTTGGTAAACACAGTAACTAAATTTATTTTTCTGAAGAAGGTAGATACTAGATACTAGCTGTGCATTGAGTAGCATTGTATTCATTAATCATTATTGACTTTTTTACTAGTTTTATGGTACTTTATGCTTTATTATCTTTTTAAAGTTTTATTATCTTTTCAAATATTCCTTTCATTTACTTGTTTGGAAAAGGTAGGCTCCCTTCTTTGTGGAGTTATTCCTGGGACTGCTCCAGACCCATATTTTACTCTCTTCTCTCTCCCAATCAGTATTAAAAAGTAACCCATCACTGAAGACTAGTAGTTTTGATTCTTTATCTAGAATTATCCTCCCACCTTTATACTGTCCCTGTATAAACTGCTCCTCATAGTTACAGAATCTTCTTCATTAGCCCTATTGTCTTAAAATTTTTCATTATTATAATGATGTGGAAAATTAGTATAAGAGAAGGAAAATAATTTTCCCTACTTCATAGTATTGTTTGGACAACTCAATAAGTTAATATGTGTATAGCGCAGATGAATAATACCTGGCACATAGTAAGTGCTATTTAGGTGTACACTATGATTATAATAATTATTTTACTTTCCGTTGTTCCACTGTATTTATCTAAATATTGTCCTTCCTTTAGAGTCAGGTGTGCTGTGATAAATTTAGAAATCTGGAAGTATGTTTTAGTTTGAAAAATGTTACTCTAAGGGATATTAATGTTCAAATATTTAATCCAACTATAGAGACTCCTGTTGCATTGTAATTAATTTGGCCCTAATTGAGTGGCTCTCCCTTGGGATATCAGAATTACATGGGAAGAGTATTACCAAGACATTTTAAAATAGGGGTAGGAATGAGGAATGTGCATTTAAAAAAAGCTTCCTGATGAATTTGATATTTCTCCTTCCTGATTTATTGCTCTAATTGCATTATTTTGTTGTCGGATTGTGTTTGACTAGTACATGCCATATAGAATGATGTCGGTAGATAAGTAGATAAGGTGTCAGGGATTAGGTTCTATTAAAATCACCCCTTTAGTGTATTATGCTAAGTGAAAAAAAAAATCTCTGAAATCAACTAAGCATAACCATCAACGAATATTTATTGAGCAATTAATGTGTCTAAGTGCTGGACTAAGTGCTCTGATCAATAACCCTTGGCTGCAGGGAGTGTGCTGTCTTGAGGGTGGTGAGAGCAGGAAGACTTCCTAGCAGAGGGTAAGATCCATTGGAATTATGAAGGGAGGATAGGGTTGGGATATGTGAATAGGAGGTAGAGCATCTCAGGCATGGGACCTGTGTGAGCAAAAGCCTGTTTGAATGATAACGATGGGATCAGCAGGGCTGGATTAGAGGATTCATCTCAAAGTACAAACCCTCTAAGATCAGTAGACTAGGGCCATCGCTTCTCGCTTCTCGGCCTTTTGGCTAAGATCAAGTGTGCAGTAGATTAGGGCCAGATTGTAGGAGGTCCTGAAGGACCTGTAGGAGGTCAGGCAAAAGTCTTCAGATTTTATCGTCTAGGGTGTGAAGAGTTAGTTATTGAAGGATTTGAGCAGGGTAGTGATGTGTTTACAAGTGATCTTTCTTTGTAGGGAAACTATTTTAGAAACAAATGGTTAGCAGCTGAGAAACACTAATAGCAGAGAACCACTTAGCAAACTGGTAGTCTAGATGTGTAGTTCTCAAAGTGTGCTCCTGGAACCAGCAGCAAGATCATCAGCTGGGAACTGTTTAGAAATGCAGAACTTCAGACCCCGCTCCAGACCTATTGAATCAGAAACTCTGTGGGTGGGGCCCAGCAGTCTTGCTAATGATCCCTCCAGGTGATTCTAATGCAGCTCAAGTTTGAGAATTACTCACCTAGGCAAAACATGATGAGGTTAACTCATCACCTAGGGGTGTCATATTAAATTATCACATGTACCCAAAAAATATGTACATCTATTATGTATCAATAAAAAAAAATTTATAGAACAACACATATAATGAGGTCCAAAATGGAATTACAGCATAAGGAATGTAAAGGAGGGGCTTAAGGTTTTATGATCAAGAATATAGAGAGTTAGGAAACTCATGAAAGAACATTCTAAATTATTGCATCTCAGTGACATAAGAGAGATGATAACCTTTGAAAGAAACCTAAAAGTCAGAAAAATCCACCAGTTTTGAGAGAAATATAATAAGTTTTATTTTTTCTTGTTGAGTTTAAAGGATTGGTAACATATTCTACTGTAACTTTCCAGCAGCTGGTTGTTAATGTGTGAGTTGAATAGGAGAGAGTAATTGGGGCTAAATATACAAATTTGGGAGCCATTTACCTAGACCTGATAATTGAAGATTTGATATTAAAGAAAAGAATTAATGTTCACTGTTGTAGTAGATTAGTTATACTTAAATAAACAGACTCTGTAGGACTTCTAGAAGGAATGAGGGATCTCAGGATCCTGTTTGCTCTAAAGAATATTCCATATTCCACAGTTATCTTCTAAAATCAGATTCAGATTTGTTTTCCTTTTCTTATACCTCAGTTGACACACAACTACCAAATCTGTATCATTCAATGCAATTAATTCTCTTAGATTAGACCTTTATTTAACTAGGTAAGAAGAGTTATAAAAATGGAATGATAGCCCTTACATATCAATTTGAATAGTATCATATAGTCTTCATAGATATAGTCATGTAAAATGCATAAAAACCAAACACCAGTTTCATCCTTTTTCTTTTAGAGTCTAAATGGCAAGAACTCAATCAGTTAACAATTGATAGACAACAAAAACTGGAAGAATCCTCCAATAACCTAACCCAATTCCAGACTATAGAGGCCCAGTTAAAACAGTGGCTTGTGGAAAAAGAACTGATGGTCAGTGTTCTTGGGCCCTTGTCCATTGACCCAAATATGCTAAACACGCAAAGGCAGCAGGTGCAGGTGAGTATTACCTAATAACCTATCTCATGCACAACAACTTGACTTAACAAATGTTTTCATTATAAATACATTAGCTTTAGGCAGTGTGTGCTTTACCTGTTTTGAAGTATATTTGTAATGTTTCAGATGTCCATAAGGTACCATCCTGAGGTTATTGGGAAACGCTCATAGAACTAAAGCTATGAGGCATCCCAAAGTAGTCCCCTTGAGCCTGTGAGTAGGCCAAGTCCCCCAATTATTTCAGTCATATCGTGGGTGGTACAGATCCTGTTAAAAAGGGCCTTCTTTGAAGTATTAATGTGATTAAGTAATTTTTTTATGAGAAGCTAGTATATGCTCTTTACTGTTCAGAAATTACTCCTTTGATGTTTTATTCATTTTGACTGTGGTAGCAGATAATGAAACTTGTAAAACTCATGCAGTGGGGTCCTGAGGGGGAGAGAGACAGAATAAGAAGGGGACAAAGAATAAGGAAAGCAGAGGGGAACCCCGAAACCCAGTGCCTTAGCAGATGTTCATCTAATTACAAAGCAGAGAAATCCACAAGGGGGAAAAATATCATGAAATTTAAGTCAGGTGTAATAGCAAAAGCTCCATTGTGGTTTCAGTTAGTTTTTCTTATGTTAGAGTTCTGGCTTTAGAGCAGAAAGGCTAATTCTATAAGCTGAAAATACAAATAAGTCTTGGTAAGAGTCACATGTTCTAGTTCATATCCACAATCTGAAGAGAATGAAAACGAAAGATAAAAATAAATATCTGGGGAGAATTAATTGCCTCTCATCTTGGTAGTCTCCCAGAAATAGATGGATAGATAAAATATAGATAAAAATAGAAGATAAAAGATAGATAAAATATTACATACAAGAAATTTTGGGATCATTCATTTTATAATGAGAGTCACGTTGAGCCTATACATTCTGAGCACCATGATTTGTTGGCTAAAACCTTTATAATAAAGACCATAAGCATCATTAAATCTTATGTTAAAAAAACCTTTGTAAATCAATGCATCATGACTTGATATGTTCTAACACTATTATCACTGTGCATTTTCTTTAAAGTAAAATGCTACAGAGTAGTCCAAAAATCCTACAAAGAGAAAAAATTGAGTAGGAAAATACATATTTGGTGTTAGTGCAGTGTGAACTTGTCCAATAGCAGTGTTTTCCCTTTGTATATGAAAATTTGTACATGAATTTTTGTTCATTTTGCCCAAATTACCAAAAATATTTATTCTATTCTTTTTTCCCTTTAGCAGAATGTGATTAGTTTAGACAAGATATTATCTCTGCAAAGTGTGCTTTGGATTTGTTTAAGTTAGTTATACTGCCCTTTAAATAAAAACTAGGAAAGTGGTAACTTAAAAAACAAAAACTGGATAAATAATTCCCATTTCTGTCTGCTTGGACACTTAAAGCTATGTTTTCTATAACCAATTATACGATAATTTGTGTGTTTATCCTCATTACCTTAGATTCTGCTGCAAGAATTTGATACTCGGAAACCTCAATATGAGCAGCTAACAGCAGCTGGTCAGGGCATTTTGAGCAGACCTGGAGAAGACCCTTCTTTACATGGGATTGTGAAGGAGCAACTGGCAGCTGTGACCCAAAAGTGGGATAGCCTCACAGGACAATTGAGTGACAGATGTGCCTGGATTGACCAAGCCATTGTTAAAAGCACACAATATCAAAGCCTACTGAGAAGCCTTTCTGATAAACTGAATGACTTCGATAATAAACTCAGCAGCATTCTGGCCGTGGGCACGCACCCTGATGCTATGAACCAACAGTTGGAAACAGCCCAAAAAATGAAGCAGGAAATAGAGCAGGAAACGAAGCAGATAAAAGTGGCCCAGACGCTCTGTGAGGATTTGTCAGCACTGGTGAAAGAAGAGTACTTGAAAGCAGAACTTAGTAGACAATTGGAAGGCATTTTAAAATCATTTAAAGATATTGAACAAAAAGCAGGTTTGTCAACTTTTAGTACATGTATTTCCTGGTTAGAAATAGATATATATTGCCTATTTTCAAGCTGTTGCCAAGAATCCAGGACCGTAAAGAGACTCTGTCCCATTGAGAATATAAACGAAGCCGAGGCTGAACACAGGAGCACGAAAAGCAGTTCTGTGTTCAAAGGCACGCACAGTGTCAGGGCAATTCTATGCAGATAATAGAGAGAGGCTCTGTTGGCAAAATCCACTTATTGGAGGTGCATTAAAATTTCAGGTATCCCAAATCTTGTGGTGTGACGTAGTCTTAGGAAAAAACAAATGCATAGTTATTGAAAAGGCTTTGCATCATTTTATCATCCACTATTGCTTTGTCTATTCTGTCATAGAAAACTTGTCTAGAGAAATGTGTGAAAGAGAAGCATCTGACACTGTTTTCCTCCCTCACCTACTATGACCATAGTCCTGCGGCAGATGTCAGAGGCAGCAGTGATGAGTTATTGGGATTCAGAAAGGCCCGACAAAGAAAGGCACATTTTGTGTTTTTTTTTTTTTTGAGACAGTCTCACTCTTTTGCCCGGGCTAGAGTGAGTGCCGTGGCGTCAGCCTAACTCACAGCAACCTCAGACTCCTGGGCTCCAACGATCCTCTTGCCTCAGCCTCCCAAGTAGCTGGGACTACAGGCATGCGCCACCATGCCTGGCTAATTTCTCTATATATTTTTAGTTGTCCAATTAATTTCTTTCTATTTTTAGTAGAGACGGGGTCTCGCTCTTGCTCAGGCTGGTTTCGAACTCCTGAGCTCAAACAATCCGCCCGCCTCGGCCTCCCAGAGAGCTAGGATTACAGGCGTGAGCCACCGCGCCCGGCCGAAAGGCACATTTTGTAGCTGTTTGTTTTGTTTGAAAAGTAACACTAGTGTCTAGGTCATGTACCTAGTAAATATTCAGTTTATGTTTTTTGATTGATTGGATGTGTTTATTGATCACAGCAACCATTTCATACTTACTCCTTTATTTAACATGATATTGAAAATAAAAAATGATAGGTTATTATCATTATTATTCGTAATGTATGACCACTTTCACCTGATAGGCATTAAGCTAAGAACTTTTCATTTAATCCTCACAACAGCCACTGTTAATATTGCCAATTTACAGTTGGGGAAATGAGCCTTAGAGTTTTAGTCATTTGCCCAGGGTCTTCCAGCTCTGAAGAGGTGAAGCCAGGATACAAACTCATGCAGTTCTTGTATGCTACATTATGTGGCCTCCATGGTATGTAAAAGTCATAGAAGTGAAAAAGTCCTATTTGATAAGAGATGGATTATTTATCAACATAACCTGCGACTTTGTAGTTGTCACTTTCTCGTATTGGAGTGGAGAAGACATTAGCACAGCAGGCGACGTGTGGTGTGACTGCACCCTGCACCTCTATGCATTTTTACTTATTCCCACATTAGTCTTTGTTTTCCCCTCTCATCTGTTTCCTGCTTCTTGACTTGTCCCTTTTCTTTTTGTTGTGCCTGCCTCTTGCCTCTTTTTTCCCTTTGTCAATGACTTAAGCTCACTTATAGTTCCTGTAGTCGATGGTAAAAGCCCTTGCTTTTAGATAATTCCGTACATTCATTTAGAGATTTTTCTTTTGACTTTTCATAGATTAGATTAACATTTTGATGTAAAATGAACATGTCTGTAATTTCATTTTTAGAGAACCATGTCCAGCACCTTCAGTCAGCCTGTGCAAGCTCTCATCAATTTCAGCAAATGTCTAGAGATTTTCAGGCTTGGCTGGATACAAAGAAAGAAGAGCAAAACAAGTCTCATCCAATATCAGCCAAACTTGATGTCTTAGAGTCATTAATTAAAGATCAGAAAGACTTTAGTAAAACTCTGACTGCCCAGTCTAATATTTATGAAAAAACCATTGCAGAAGGTGAAAATCTGTTATTAAAAACACAAGGGTCTGAGAAGGCAGCCTTACAGTTACAGCTTAACACGATTAAAACCAACTGGGATGGATTTAATAAACAGGTGAAAGAAAGAGAAGACAAGTTAAAAGATTCATTGGAAAAAGCCCTCAAGTATAAAGAGCATGTGGAGACTCTCCGGCCGTGGATAGACAAATGTCAGAATGACCTGGAGGAAATAAAATTTTGCTTGGATCCTGCTGAAACTGAGAGTTCTATTGCCAAGTTAAAGTCTTTGCAGAAGGAAATGGACCAACACTTTGGTATGGTAGAATTACTAAACAACACAGCCAATAGCTTGCTCAGTGTCTGTGAGACAGACAAAGAGGTTGTTACAGATGAGAATAAATCACTGATCCAGAAGGTAGACATGGTCACTGAACAACTTCACAGTAAGAAATTCTCTCTGGAGAATATGGCTCAGAAGTTTAAGGAATTTCAGGAAGTTTCCAAAGAAGCTCAAAGGCAGCTTCAGTGTGCAAAGGAACAGCTGGACATCCATGATTCCCTAGGCCCCCAGGCTTACAGTAACAAAAATCTGACCATGTTGCAGACTCAGCAGAAATCACTGCAGACCTTGAAGCCTCAGGTAGAATTGGCCAAAAGACTTGCTCAGGACCTTGTGGTAGAAACCTCAGACTCAAAGGGAACCTCTGATATATTATTACAAGCAGAAACGTTAGCTCAAGAGCATAATGCAGTAAGTCAGCAGGTTGATGAAAAGTGTTCATTCTTAGAAACCAAGCTTCAAGGCATTGGGCATTTCCAGAATACCATCCGAGAAATGTTTTCTCAGTTTGCAGAGTTCGATGATGAACTGGATAGCATGGCTCCAGTAGGGAGAGACGTAGAAACATTGCAAAAGCAAAAGGAGTCTATAAAAGCCTTTCTGAAGAAACTAGAAGCCCTCATAGCAAGCAACGACAATGCCAATAAAACCTGCAAGATGATGCTAGCCACAGAAGAAACATCTCCTGACCTCATTGGAATCAAAAGGGACTTGGAGGCTTTAAGCAAACAATGCAACAAGTTACTGGACCGAGCCCAAGCCAGAGAAGAGCAGGTTGAAGGGACAATTGAGCGTCTTGAAGAATTCTACAGCAAATTGAAAGACTTTTCTACTCTGCTTCGGAAAGCTGAAGAACATGAAGAGTCACAAGGTCCCGTTGGTATGGAAACAGAGACAATTAATCAGCAGCTCAATGTCTTCAAGGTAGGTAGTTCTTCGTTTTTACCAAGTGTTTTTGTTGTAAAAGAAATTTCTAATTGTATAGGAAGGAGATTGCATATTTTGTAGATCCTTCTAATATGACACAGTATTTGAGCCTGAATGAGCAGATTGGGGAGGGGGGTAACATCCAGAGATGTGGAGCAGTTTCAGGCTACTGGGGGATTTCAGCCCTCATGGGATAAGACCTGAGATAACATCATGAGGTCAGAAGGATGCTTGATAAGGTTCCAGGCAAGCGCAAGCCTGAAACTGACATCACGGAGTCTGTGTCTGATGTCATTCACAACTGCCAGCTGTAGTGACCAGAGCTGTGCTTTGGACCCTGCTGCAGATGTTCTTCTCTCAGCATTTTTAAAATACATTGACTGCCACACAAAAAAAATCAGAAACTTTTCCTTGGGGCCACAGTGTTTTATTACGAAAATAGAACAAAAACTTCGAGTGTAATTTAAAGGAAAACATAAATAGAAAAATGAAACTTATTGACTTCTATTCATTTAATCCACGTTTTTAGAATTAAATTGTCAATTTTAATTATAACAATAAGAACGTCAACAAGTAAGATTTTATATATGCTTCATGTGGCCCCAGGGTCAAAACTAGAGTGAGTTAAATACAACTTTCATGGCAGTTA